GACAACCTATACAAGCACTGTATTGTTACAGTATTCTATATTGATGCAGTATTCTATATTGAAATAAATCTAATATTTTTTTTTTTTCAAAAGCAGCTATTAAAAAGCACTTGTCGAAGCCTTCTAAAAATCCTTCTCCGAGATATCCTCTTACATTGCAGTAATTTCCTTGCTAACAAGAAAAAATGCATGGACGTTCGAGCAAGCAAAATAATCGTCGGGACACCGCGTATTGCTCACGTATAGACGACAGGGTTAGTCGAGCGTTTTCTTAGTGTGCGTCACACGTATTTTAGGACAGCATTTCTAACCACGACGTCTCATAATGCTATCTCTCTCACTCTTACATCTGCGGTAGAAGATGGAAGATCGCCACGCTCCCACCACTATTCCCTCTCCAAGCCATCCAACGATCGTATACCGCTAGCCCCTTCCATCACTCCGTACTGCTTGTGTCACACCTACAGGCAACAGTGTGTGAGTGACGCGTCATCGTGTGCGAGTCACACGGATATACGGATGGCATTAACGCCGATGCGTGTACACCATGGACACAGTATACATGGACTCCGAATGCCCTATGTTCTATCGTCTAACAGAGTGAAGCCAACATCTAGAAAAAGAGCTAGAATAGAGGGGTTATAGTTTTCTTCATATTTTGTCATTTTTTTGTTGCGCGTCCATTTCTTGTTTCCATAATATTATAGAGCGCAACAGCACCCCGACTAGATTGGCAAGTAAGTCCTACTTAAATCTTATTGCATATTTTGTCTGTGCAGAAAGAGACAGAGAACAAAAGGGCATACATATTGGCTTCTCTTTTCTGACTGTGTGCAGAGTCTATGTATATTATGTCTATGGTCTCTTTCTACATGTTGGCTTCACTTTTCTGGCCGTATGCAGGGTCCATATATACTACGTCCATGATATAAGTCTATGATCTTTAATTGTCGCGATCATTACTGACTGCAATACGATGTGCAACCGATGTGCTCATAGTATCAATTGTGTAAAAATGGCTGGTTTTATTCGCTTGTATAGAGGAAAGTAGCCAAAAGCGACATAAGCTTCCTAAAGCAACATACCTCTATATCTCATATATTAGGTGTTGTATTTTATCGAACTAATAGCGAATTCGGTAGCTTGCACTAGTGCGCACTGAGTGCGCATTAAGGCTTGTTTACAGTACATTCTTATATTTAAGATCGTGTCTTAAATACATATTTAAAAACATTTTAACTAATAAAATGATTCGTACGGATGTTATACATATCATATTATGGTTAAAAATATTTGAGAATTTATTTGAGAATTATTTAAGACAATCTTTAAATATAATAACATACTATGAACAAGCCTTAGTGCGCACTCAGTGCACACTAGTGCAAGCAACCGAATTCGCTATAATATAAACGTAATTCGTTTTATCAATTAAGTCATAAAAAATTCATATATTGGTATAGTTTTTATTCTTTTATATGCTAAATTAACAAATATCGAGTTTTAGAAATTCGTAAGTTTTATTTCTATGATTTTTAACAAATTACATAAACAGCAATAATTAGCTTTTTGTTTAATATTAAGTTCTTCTACATGCATTTAGCTTTCGTAAAAATATTTTTTAAATATTTTTATCTTTATCACTTTATAACTTGAAAAATTTTATAAGAATGTGTCTTAAAGTGACATACCTACAATATGCGATAGGTGCGATACTCTGTGACTAACATAACCTGATTCTAACCTCTTATTGTGACGTAACATTTGTTTATCTTAAAGTTTCATTTTGTTTAGTTTAAAAATATAACATGCCAAAGATATGTTTTTATTTAATTATATTTCTCTTTTGTAACATTATATTTTGAATAAATAAATATTATTCAATCATTAAACGTATTAATGAATTATTTATTATCAAATATTATCATATATGTAATATGTTATATAACTTCCAATAAATATGTCGCTTTTAGCATCCAATTTCTTTGAACTCCATTTTCGTGCGTCTTACAAAAACATTTTTTGTTTTAAATCTAGAAACAATTTCAGTAAAAATATGATATTATTTGATAGCGGGTACTTCCAACTACATGTATATATATTTACATTTATATTTTGAGCTTTATATTAAGACGTAACCTCTAAAAATAAAGTTATATGTCGCTTTTGGTATTTTTACTCTATTACTCGCGTTTACGAATATATTATGGCTGAAAGCATCGATTATGCTTATACTTGTGATATAATATAATGTAAAATAATAATGTAAAAACCGTATTAAAATAATATTAAATTATTTAACTCGTTCAATTCGTTCTCGTGCAAAAAATTACTGACAAGTTCTTTGAGTAATTTAAAGTTAATTTTTATTTAGCAAAAAAATGCTGAAACACCAATAATCTGAGATAGAATCAATCAAAAAAGTGGAGCTTTTCATAAACTTCGATCGACCAAATAAATAATAAAATTGTTTTCCTTTGTCAATTTCAAGTGGATTTTAACAGAATTTTACTTTAAGTCATAGCAATAGCAGAAATAGCAGGTAGTCAAAGATATGCTTGATTTCAAGATTCTAGTCCCCCTAAAAACGTTGGTAGTTTGGAGATAGCGCATTCATCTACACTAGTCTAGAGATCCTTGAATCAAAGTCTGTCCATAATTATGATTTCGTCAAAGTCCTACAAGAGAAAGAAAGAGAGAGAGAGAGAATAGGAATACTGTGATTGGATATTGTGAAACTTAACAAAACATAGCAAACCAATCAAAACTAGTTGTCTTATAGTCAAACTCTGATTTGAGACTATTTTGAGTTTGTTTTCAAATCTCTTGACAATGACGGATAGAGATGCGATCCAAAATTACGTATGTCATTTTGGTTCGCGTCGTTTGCTAATCGCAACGTTATTTGACCTTCCGTTTATCCGATATTCGCCATTGCTACAAAATAGCAAGCTTAACCCTTAAAGGCATAATTCATGAAACATTCTAGTAACTATACTAGTGGCATCTATCAGTTTAAAACCAAAAGTGACACGTTTCAACTACCCGATCCTATGTGATCTCTATTGGTACCAGTCATACTTAAAAGATTAAGACATGTTTCTTCATACTACTTTATAGAGCTCATCCTATTACATTGCAAATACTAATTCACTAATCTTCTTTAATTAATATTTTAATAATTATCGTGGTTGTTTATAAAATGATAAGTGAGTTCTTTGTTTAGTTGTTTAGTTTGTTTAAATCTATATATACACGAACATTCTTTAACTTATCGTCAGACTATCGATAAACCCTATACACGGTATATACGGTATATACACGGTGTTCCACTTAACTCTGCCACGCAAATAACTTGTTTATTTTTAAAGATATATAAAATCGTTTTAGGAGAAAGTTATTGAGTTGTAAAATAGAAATTAAGTTATATTGTTGAAAAGTATTTAAAAGTTATAATTTTTGTATTCAATAATAGTTATATCTTTTTTAAGAGGATCACATATTTTCATATATATAAATTTCTAATTTGATTCGCTAATCTGCTTTATTTTATAATTTTTATTTTTACTTTTCAATCGTAACACTTAAGGCTTAAGTCATGTTACATTATTGAAATTGTCTAAATACTAGAGAATAGTAAGTATGAAAATATGTAGCCCCATTAAAAAATATCTATTATTTAAATATCAAAAACCGTGACCTCTAAATAATCTTTATTAACAAAACTTAATTTCACCCTTGTAATTCAACATAAAACATAATTTTCTTAAAATGTTTTTGTATATCTTTAAAAATGAACGAGTCATTTTGTGTGGTAAAGTTAAATGAGACACCCTGTATACAGGGTATCCGGTAACTCAGGGAGAAGCTGTAGTATACAGGTAGATTAGATCAACCTAAACAAAAAATTTCTTTATCATTTTGCGGGCAACTACGTAAAATTTTGAGTTATTAATCCAAGAAGATTCGTGAATGATCATGCGCCATTCGATAAATGAGCTAGATGTTTAGTTATTAATTAAAAAAGTTTGGTGCATTATCTGTACACTAAACTTCTTTCATTAATAATTAAATATGTTCATTTGGAAAATGAATATATTTAATTATTATAGTCATTTGGAAAATGATGAGAGAGACGGAGAGGGAGGAAGGGCGGGGAGAGAGAGAGAGAGGATTTTCTTGTTCAGTTTGACCTAATATATAAGCATACAGCAGCAGATGTCGCTATCACAGCTCATCTATCGGATGGCGCGTGATTATTCATGAATCTTCTTCAATTAATAACTTAGAATTTTACGTGGTTGTTCGCAAAATAGTAGAGGAATTTTTTGTTCAGTTTAACCCAATCTATCTGTACATCGCAGCTTCTCTGTGAGTTACCCTATATAAGTATATTGTTAAGTACATAGATGTCTATACTAAACTAGATTGCTAACACACCATCATTGCATATAGCATGGCTTGCGTCCGATAAAGTTTCCGGTGTATGCGAGAAAATGGCCGCTACCGCCACATATTTTCACTACGTTTAGTCATAAAATTCTTTTGTTGAAAATGAGCAGAACAAATAACATTCAATACCATCTATTTTTTGGATGCAATAAGATACTGGCATTTTTGGTTTTACGACAGTAATTTAATAACCACACTGACTCACATTGTACGTTGTAAGTACTCACACAAGTGACACGTCACACAGACAGGACCACCGCCATTTTCTCGCATACAACCGGAAACCTCATGCGACGCAAGTCCGAAGCCTTAGTTAGCAATCTAGTTTAGTATAGACATCTATGATTAAATATTATATTTTAAGATTATTAAATATGTACCAAAAAATACGAGAACCTTGTTCATATAATAAACAATATCTGTTTTATTTTCTAGAATGTTGAAGAAGCGATGAAAAAGGCAATGCGGAAGTAGGTTTATACCAAAGATTAAATTAGTAAGCGGGTGTGAAAATTATGTAAGGGGTGAGTAACAAGTGCAGTACTCACACACTGTAAAGACTGTTTAATATGCTGTCGAGCCTTGGCGACCTCGCTGGCCAAACTTCCAACAACAGGTAAGATTGCACAATTGGACGGTTGAGTTCCCTGCATCCACCAATATTAAAGATAAGCTCATACCAGATTGATTATTTAAAATATCCTTGTGTCATATCTCCACTCTGAAGCTTGTGTTAATAATATTAACAAAATAAAAAGTTAAAAATCTCTAAATATATAGAGGTCTCATTTTACAACGTACTTGAATAACTTTAAAACTAACAAGGAAACGTACGGAAGTGTCTCTCTCTGATTTTTTTATCAACTTATATGTTATAATTTAAATCAAAATAGGGAACATGTATTTTTTTGTACCCATAAGCACTTTTAGGGGACAAAATACCCTTTCGAAAAAAATCTATTTTTTCTTTTGGAGCAAATATGAAACTATGAGATTTAATAAGATAAAATGTTTAATAAGATTTAATTTTTTCAAGAGTACTTTATAATAATATTCCTAAATCGTTCGATGATTTTAGATTTTTTCAATATAATTTCTTCATTCATTACTTATTTCGCATTAACGATTTTTTCGGTTAAATGAAAAGATATTTTAGAAGCACTGAGTCGCTGAATTCAATCATATGTAACAAAGTTATATTTCGAAAAATTTCTTTTGAAATTAAGTGGGTACACCTCCGTACGCTCGCTATTTGTAACTTCCAATCCGCTCCTCATATGTCACATTCACGCATCATGTTCTCTTTACACTTTCTCATAATGAGAGATGACGATTTGTACAGATATGTAGAATATCTAGCCATGTTCATCTAGAAATGTTTCAATATATTGTTGCACTCACTCGCGCTCATGTCAATGAAATAAACAACACTTTTAGGAAAACTAAACGTTTAATATTAAGTTATTTACAAAGCTCTCACGTTAATCTCAATTTGAATCTTTAAATTTCACACTTTCTATCGCCTTTTCATATATTACACTGTATACACTTTACTCTGTATAAACTCTCATAACAAAAAACTTAAAGCATATCTGACTATTGTTATATTTAAATTAATTAGTATAGTTATATTGTTGTACCCGTGCGAAAGCATGTATCGATTAGTACCCGAGCAAAAATTGAATCTAGTGATTGTCTAGTAATGACACAGAAAAGTTGGGTCTTACATCGCTACTAGCTAGGAATGTAATGCTCACTTCTCCTAGTGGTTGTACTAGAAAAATTAGCTAATAGCTAGATACAAAAAAAATAACTTGTAATTATTTAGCTTGCACTAGACAGTGAGTAGATAGCAAAAACGAAAAAATTATTTCTCTTCGTTAATTTCCCTTTTCTCTATATCAGAAGTATCTAATAATCTTTAAACAGTTTTCTTATCTCAAAATTTCTGGATGTCTAGTAGCTAGATAGGTTTTTTTAATTAGAGTTTTTATCTCTCTCTCTCTCTCTCACTCTCTCTCTAGGAGAGATGATCTAATGGAGTTTGGTTTCTTGTAATTCTTCTTCATTATGCATTATTTTCATTCTATTGGAGAAATTCATTTTATCCTTCGGGACTCGAATCTGAAGAGCTCTGACTCTTGAATCGGTCACTTTACCTACTACAGTCGGTAGTGAACGTTTTATATTAGCTACATATGGTTTACTCAACGCCGTTTTATCTAATGGCTAGACAAAAAAAATTACACAGTGACGAGATGGAAAATTCGGTAAATCCGAAATAGAAATTTAATATCAAATAGCTGTCTAGTGACTGTCTAGTAACAATGTACTGTAAATCCAGAACGGAAATTAGATGTTGAAATTAAATCTATTCATTAGATAGTAAATTTGTCATCGTCATTTGTTATTACATCGTCATTATCTATATACAAATTTACTATCTAGTGGGTAGACAGTTCTGATATCCAATTTCTATTCAGGATTTACCAATGATTTTCTATCTCGTTACTATCTTTTCCATCTAGCCACTATCTATATAATTGGTATAGTTACTAGACAATCCTGACATTCAAAAGACTGAGTAAGAATATTTAGCTAGTCACGAGCTAGTCTAAATTTGCTCTACTAGATATATTTTTGCTCGGGTACATATGTGTTCCTAATGAAGATAATTGCATTAGATGAACGATTCCGGATGAACGAATGTATATTCCCTATGACATGATGAATTATCTCCCTCCTCCTTTACATAGAATAAGAAAAAGTAATTTATAATCATATATATATATTTTATATATATTAAAAAAAAATATATATATATAAAGGTAATTAATTTGATATTATCCCTAAACCCTAAAACAATAATTTGTATTAGAAAAAGATAATATATAGCGCGATCTCTCTCTCGTGATTATTATCCATTATATATATATATATATATATATATATATATATATATATATATATATATA